GCTCGTGATTATGGTAAGGGGCGGTTACATTTCCGATGAGTGCTTGCGGTGTTCGGCCAATCACAATGCATTGGGTCAGCTGGCCAATCAGAGCAGTCTGCTCTGATTGGCCAATCACAATGCACTGGGTCAGTTGGCCAATCAGAGCAGACTGCGCTTGTTGGAAGGAGGGACTTTGTAGAAAACGAAGCGTTTGAGAGAGGCGGGGCATAGAGGACCTACAATAATGTACAGTATTTGAAAAATAATGTGTTTTTTGAACATTAAAGCATGTCAACATATTCTGTTACACCAAATACACCCAATAATGATCTTTAAAAAAGCATCATATGACCCCTTTAACACAATAAAGCCACATTTGTTGGTAGAGAAATTAATTTCTCTTTTTAACTTGGATCATAATATTTCTGGATGGATTTTGGACTTTTTAGTAGATCGTCTTCAATGTGTTAGAGTTAATGGTGTTCATTCTGATTTTCAATATTGCTCTACTGGGTCTCCTCAAGGCTGTTGTCTTTCACCCCTTTTGTTTATTATGTATACGAATGATTGCCGGAGCATGTATGAGAATAGTTATATCATAAAATATGCAGATGCTTCAGTGATTGTGAGTCTTCTCCACAATCAGGATCTGGGGCATGGTCCTTTTGTGGAGGACTTGATTTCATGGTGTGACCGATTTTCTCTTCAGTTGAATGTTAATAAAACGAAGGACATGGTGATTGATTACAGGAGGTCTCCTCCTAGTCCCTGGAGGACAACAATCAAAGGTTTGAAGTTTGAACATTGAAATTGTCGATACACATACATATTTGGGGGTGGTTATAGACAATAAGTTGACTTTCCAATTCAATGCTTTGGCTGTCTGTAAAAAGGTTCAACAAAGATTGTTTTTTCTGAGGAAATTAAAATCTTTTAGTGTTTGTTCTTCTATGATGACACTGTTTTATAAACAATTTATTGAATCTGTCCTTTCTTTTTGCATTGTGGCATGGTATGGTAATTTGAGTTTGTCAAATAAGAATAGGTTATGTAGTCTGGCGAAGGTGACCGGCAAGATTATAGGTGTTAATCAAACTGGGCCTGCTGAAATTTTTCAAAATTCTGTTTTTAAGAAAGCCCAGGTTATTCTTTGTACTACTGACCATCCACTACATACTGAGTTTCAGATGCTGCCATTAGGCCATCGTTTTAGAGTCCCTGTATGCAGTTCGAAAAGAACTAAAGAGCAGGTTATTCTTTGTACTACTGACCATCCACTACATACTGAGTTTCAGATGCTGCCATCAGGCCATCGTTTTAGAGTCCCTGTATGCAGTTCGAAAAGAACTAAAGAGTAATTTGTTACTGTGGCCGTTAAGTTATTGAACAAGTCTGGTGGGGAGGAGAATGTATTTGGTATTCAAAATTTATGAATTTGAACAGTGTTTGATCAATTTTAATGCATGTTTTGGGAATTTGTATAATGTTACATTGTATGTTTTTATAGGTGAAATGGTGATGTGTGCATGGATTGTGGTTAGAGTACTGGCACTTCGCTGCGATTCTAGTTTCCCTAAACGGGACAATAAAGTCGAGTCTGAGTCTGAGTCTGATTGTTTTCACACTTCCCGTACCCTTGGCTAGATAATATGCACTGACTTGCACTATAGGGTTTCATTTCTTGTATTCAGTTTGCTCCTTCAACTTAAAGGGATAGGTCACAAAAAAATCATTTACTCACCCTCATGTCGTTCCAAAGCTGTATGACTTTATTACTTCTGTGGAACATAAAAGGAGATAATTTGAGAAATATCTCAGTGTTTGGTGACCAAATCAATGGTCACCAAAACCGTTTGGTTATCAACATTCTTCAAAATGTCTTCTTTTGTGTTCTGCAAAAGAACAACATATGGGTTAGTAATTTTATGACAAAAAAAATGTAAAATTCACATTCTCATCTTATCTGTTTTGTGTATATTTAACAGGATTTTCCATGGATTGTAGCAGATGAGCAGGAAGTTCACATGGAAGAGGCAAAACTCATTCCTCTCAAAACGATGACTTCTGATATTCTCAAGGTGAGACATTCACAGCTCTTCTGTACAGAGAGTCAGATTTCATTGCTTCAACTAAAGTACAAATGCTCTAGGATCATTCTCAAATCATGCTGCAGAACATGATCATCAAGTTTGACACAGACTTGTTCATGTAGCTCAAGCGCTGCTGTCAATGTGAAAGAGGAACTAAATACTGAGACATTCTGGCAGTCATGTTAATCACATCGGAACAGTCGCACTGACCAAAAGGCCATCACAGCAACATGACAATATGTTCTAGAAAAAAAGGGAAGTGACATGTTTTCGTTAAGCTCGTCTTGCAACATTATCACATGACGTTTTTTTTCTATCTGCCTTTTAAACAGATGCAGCTCTATGTAGAAGAAAGAACACAGAAAACTTGATGCTCTGCAAACACATGAAAGCATCTGCAGGTGTTTACAACAGGAAGCACCTTTTTTTTAAGTTAACAACAGACTTCTTTATAAGTTACATTAGGATAACATAGCAGAAGTATATTGAACTGGACTGTGCATTTTATTAAGTAAGTAGAACTATCAGTATATCTGTATCTTTTGCCTTTGTTTTATTTTTATCAGGTTTTTGCTCAAGGTCTGTCATTATTCTGAAATTGTCCCGTTTAATTTTTAATACAATTTTGTGATCTTTCACTGCCAATTTCTACCTCTGTCATGACTCCAGAATCTACATGTTTACAAAATGAGATGTGGAAGTATTGTCTATTATTAGTTCATGATAATGATTGCATCAACTAATGTTAACAAACTGAAACTTATTTTAATGTGTTTGCCTTGATAAAGTCAAAGACAATCAGAAGTGTAATTCTGATTTATTGGTTTAATTAAACATTTTTCATTCACAAACATTATTTTGATGCATTCTTTTGACATACTGTTAATCATTACATCAGAATAATAAAACAACAACAAAATTTTTTTTAAAACACTTAAGTTGTCTTGATAACTTTTACAACAGGGCAGTGGACTTTAGTTCTCAGCATGCTTTGCATTCGACTGGATAAGCAGAACCAGAAATCACATTGTTTTTTTTGCAAATATTAAACTTTTTTTCTAGTTTTTCCAGCGGGGGTTAGATAAATGGTTAGAGAAATGTGTGTTTCACAGCCATTGTAATCCCGTCTGAATCTGCCAAGTCTGTTTTTCTTCACACAACCTCTGTACAAATTATTTGCTGTTTTTTTTTTAGCAAACTCAATGATCCACTGAGAAATGGACCATTGAGGAAAGGAAATTGGGACTGGATTTTTTTTAAACATTGACAACAGGAATGTTTAAATCATTGGTAATATGAGGAAAGTTCGAGCTGGATTGTGTTTTAAGAAGTAAGTAACTATTGTTTTGCCTCCGTTTCATTTTTATAGTTTTTTCTCAGTATTTATCACTGTGCTGAAATTGTCCTTATTTTTAATACAGTTTTATGACTGCTCCATATTAACAAAGTGAGAATGGATGTAGTTGGGAAGCACACAAAGAAAGTTCAAAGATTACACATTTAAAACAGCTTTTACATTACATTAGATTCAAAATATGTTCTTTAGTGACTAAGCTTTTTGTCAACATTCTATTTAAAAGGATAGGGATAGAAATGTTCTGTGCACAGTATGTAAACGATTACTTTCCACAGTATTGAAGGATCCCTCAGGATCGTAGGGAGATGGCTGAGTATTGCTTGGCTGTGATTTTATTCATTTTCGGGTGAGCTAACCACCTTATTTTTCAATTCAGAAGTAAGCCGTTTTCTGGTAATGTGCGAAACCTCCGGTTCATTAGCTGCTGTAGGGAAATAACGAAGTGCAGTAAATGGTAAAATTGTTTGCACTACAAACCATTGTGTTCATAATTAAAATAATATGGTAAGACACACAAGTTTGCAATATCAAGCAGCAAACTGAGCTATTTTGTATAGCTAAAATCAGCTGGAAGCGGATGACACCGGCAGCCAGACCCATAAAACTTACAAATGGCCTGCTCTTACGGGAAAAATAAGGTGGATCCTTTTAAGAAAACATGAAGTGAAAGAAGGTTTCATGTCTGCTTTAGCTAGGCAGTATTCCCATAATTGTCAGGAAGTGAGAAAGTTTGTGGGATGGGGTGTTTAGTTTTAGTTTTAGTTTTAGGTTAAGTCTCTCGAACTGTTACATACAGCTCTACACTAAGTTGATTCACATCTTGGTCTTCCATGTGAAATATTATAGAGTGGCTTTCTACAATCTAGATGATAGACCATAAAAAAGATGGACAATGCATCTCTCTTTTCTTCTACTATAGAGTAATGAAGCCAAAATGTTGCATAAATGGCCACAGTCATTTTGTGCTGATGATGTCGTTTGGAGCCAGAGTTTGCTGGTAATCATGAGGTGAAGCTGCCCAATGAAGGTCCTGCCCAAATTGATCAATCACAAGCACACAATCATGAAACCACACACCGTTTTTACAGCATCAAATAACTAAAACTGAACTTATTAGAAAAGCACACTTGAACATATATCAACGTGATAAGAACAAAGTAAAATGACAGAAACCACCTTTGGGGAAAAATAATTTAAAGTGTAATTAGATTTTTTTTTTTTTGTAGTTTGGAAAAAGTCCCATTTATTGATAAGGAGAAGGCAGAGTTTATGACCATACTACAGCCAGTCACAGTAAACTGCCTCAGAATCAGATTTGATACATTTGCAAAGGAAATGTGATGACACTGTGAGGGCGAATTTTCATAAAAATAATAATTTAATAAATAAAATGGAGTGTCTATTTGCAAGTAGCCCATACTGTTGGTGAAGACTAGTTCTGCCCACCATTGACTGGTTGGGCAAGACAAAATTACAGGAACAGTGACATGGCAAATAAAGTGACATCTTTTGATGCCACTGACCGAATCGACAGAATACGGCTTTTTCTGATCCTATTCTTCTTCCTTTTTTCCATTGCATATCAGACAGCCTCTGTAACATATAATCAACCACCCACATGTATCAAAACTGCTCTTTCATTTACATTTTCATGTATTTATTTAGCAGGTGCATTTTTTTCCAAAGTGACTTACAGTTGAGGAACATCAAAAGAACACACTGACACCTCTTTCATATGATAAGCTGTCTGTGAATTCCCTGACAGTTACAACAGTTCTGTAATTTTTTTCCCTCACCTTTATGTTATTTCAAACCTGTATGACTTACTGACTTCAGTGGAACATAAAAGAACATGGAAGTCAGTAGTAACCGAAATGGTTTTATTATCAACATCTTCTTTTGCAACATAATCATGAAGCAAAGGAAGCACATGATAAGTTCACATGAGTACCACACATGATGAGTTATGTGGAATCACATGGCACGAAACAGGAAACATAAATGTAAAAATAAAAAAGACATGAAAATAGAAACATGAATAAAACCTGAAACAGACATGACAGTTGGTGTTTAGTTTTAATACCCATACATTTTAGTAAAATGGATTTAAAAGAGAAGGCAAGTGGGTAATTGAGACAAAAGCACAACTGACCATATTGAAGACATGCTTAATAATTAAACACTGGGGAGTTGTTAGGGTCTGGCACAATTTGTCTTGTCTCCTTTTTTCTGAAAGTCATCTAACACAAGTCTGTTTTTCAGCTTCTCCAGCTCAGGCAAAATGATCACCTCTGCACTAGTTCCCTGATATGTGTATATTCTATAATCTATCTACAATTCTACCTCTCCTCATCATGAACATTGTGCTTTGTGTGGCAACTTGCAATAATGCAGAATATGAAATTAATGGAGAGTGTTGCCCAATGTGTGATCCAGGTAAGTCTGATTGTCCTTCACTCATCACCACAATGCAGGAGAAGTCAGTTACTTAAAGGGGTCATATGATTCCCCCACCCCCGGTACCACTCTGGTGTTTTTTCTGTGGGCTATGCAAAGCAACAGGTGCAATCTCATCAGCAGAAACTAAACATTCTGGGTACTTTCCCTTTATTTGGTATAGGCATATAGCAACTGGGGCAGGTTAAGCTATTTAGATACAGTGTAAAATCTATTTATATAGGTTTTGCTGAAAATAGGCATAAAGTAAAAGATCAATCAAGAATCAAAACAGAATCAATACATTGATTGTTCATAGGACATTTGTATTTTTACCCAGCCCTACTCAAGTCTGATTACTTTTATTGTTCAGATTATTTACTCCAGACTTATTTTCTAGGAAAGCGAGTTCATAAACATTGTGAGGAGTACACAAGCACAACATGTGATTTATGCCTTGTGATGACTTACACTGATGCTTCTAATGGACTGACAGAATGTCTGCCTTGTTCATTCTGTGATCCAAGTGAGTAAAACTGTTTATTTCTAGTAAGTCATGGTGGTTTCCAAATGTATTTTTATTGAATTCTCATTGTCAAATTGACTACAATTGACTAATTTGTTTCCTTTCTTGTCAAAGGTAATGGGCTGAGAGTAAAGAAGGCATGTACATTAATATCAAATACAGTGTGTGAACCTCTGCCAGGATATTACTGTTTAGAGTTTCTCTCAAACTGTCCAAAGGCGATTAAACATTCAACCTGCTCACCTGAACAATACATCAACCAAACCGGTCAGTCTATTGTAATCTGTCTAAACTATCTAATGTCTGGTATAATATAATTAATTTCATTTAAAGCAGCTTTTAAATTTTAAACTTTTTTATCCACACAAACTGATAGGCTGAGATTACATCTGAGAACAATAACATTGCTTGCATTTATAATAAATAAATATGGAATTTTGCATATTGTTCCAAAGCTTTCCAGCTTTATACTGGATACTCAACACTTGTGTGTGTTTTGCTCCCCATGTGCTCTCCGTGACCCAGTTTCTGTCTCCCATGTGTGATTGTATGATTTGGTTCAGGCGTGTCTCGTCTATTATCCCTTGTTTAGTTCTGTATTTAAAGTGTTGTCTGTGCCTTGGTTCCTTTGTCCAGTGTTAAACGTCATTCCTATGTGCTACGTGTGTGTTCCTGCCTGCCCTGTGTTACCCCTTGTTGTGGTTTAATAAAGACTGTTCTTCGTGAATTCTCTGACATCTCCGCGCTCCTTCACTCCTACGCAGTGGCAAGCTCCCTCCTCTCCGCCGTGGCCCATCAGTCCACCAGCTCCACCGGGCTCCCTCGTCCCTCCAGCTCCACCTTGGTCAGTCGTCGACCATCCGCCGCCTCGGGACTCCATTCCTCTGGCTGCGCCTCATCCCTCCGGCTCTGTCAGGCTCCTCCTTCCCTTCGGCTCCACCTCGGGCCTCTGTTGCTCCGGCTCCACCGCGGCCTTCCGAATCCACACCTCTGCCTCGGTCGCCTGAGCCATCTGCTCCGCTTTGGCCCTCCGGATCCTCCTCGTCGCCCTGGCTCATCAGCTCTCCATCTCTGCCTCGGGCTCCTTCTCCACCTGCTCCGCCACCATCGATTGGTCCCCTGGAGTCGTCCGCACTTCCTCCTCCCTGGCTCCTCCCTCCGTCTGGTCCGCCCTGGCTCCTCCCTCCATCTGGTCCACCCTGGCTCCTCCCTCCATCGTCACCACCCTGGATTCTGTCTGCCAGCCCCATCCCGGTTGTGTTTAATGAAAATAACAATTATTAAAAAGGTTCATAACACTTTTAAATTTCGACATAACACATTTATAGCACATAAAGCATGGTTCATTATGGAAACTTTTGAATTTAGTATGAAACAGTCGTCCGTTTTATTCTCTTATTCTCTAATGTCATTTTTGCAACCATCATTTCTTTTGACATGTTTGAAATGTTTAAGAGAAAATTATTAAAATTGCAGAATTAACTGTGTGATGTATGACTGTTTATTGTTGGATATTGTTAGTAGACAAATAAGTAAATCTGTGAGAAGGTGAAACTTGTATTTTTTTTCTCAAAATATCCACAAGCAAAATGTGTCCTTAGTTGAAGAAACACCCAGTGTACACTGTTAAAAAAAAGAAATCATTGAAATTTTCAGAAAAATTGGCCAGAATTTTACCATAAAATATTGTAGCAACTTTTTAGGTTTTGTATTAAATTTACAGTAAAAAACATTTTTCATTAACTGAAATAATGTTCATATACCAAAATGATTAAAATCTGTCACACAACAATAATATTGTTGATTGTTTAGTATTTTTCCCTAATAAAATTGTTTTGTGTATGGATCTTTGTTTTATACATATGCAATCATTCTGGACTGGGCGTTGTGTCACTTGATCAACCTTTAAATGTGACCATAGACCACAAAACCAGTCATAAGAGTCAATTTTTGGAAATTTAGATTTATACATCACATGAAAGCTGAACAAATAAGCTTTCCATTGATATATTGTTTGTTAGGATATGACAATATTTTGGCCAAGATACAACTATTTGAAAATCTGGAATCTGAGAGTGCAAAAAAAAATCTAAATATTGAGAAAATCGCCTTTAAAGTTGTCCAAATTAAGTTCTTAGCATGTTATATTACTAATCAAAAATTAAGTTTTGATATATTTATGGTAGGAAATGTATAACATATCTTCATGGAACATGATCTTTACATAATACCTTAATGATTTTTGGCATAAAAGAAAAATTGATAATATTGACCCATGAAGTGTATTTTTGGCTATTACTACAAATATACCCGTGCTACTTATGACTGGTTTTGTGGTCCAGGGTCACAAACTAGCATTTATGTTGATCTTGGTCTAGAACTTATTGTCATTTTGTCATTTTCAGCTCTTTCCAGAATGCAGCTGCTCACTCAGGTGTTTCAAGAGGGGACCTGCCATTGTGTGGATCCTAGACAGAGAAATTAATTCTCTGTCTCAAGGAGTCTGCAGTCAGTTGCAAGAAGCCCTTTGTTACACACTTTTCATTATAACTAAGGGATTTCCTGATTCCTTACTGTTGGGTCTTGAATGTTCCAAGATACCCAAAGACTCCATAAGCTGCAGCTGATGAGGAAATCTAAAGTGCTACAAATCTGTGACTGAAAATCCAGTACTTCATTTAATGTGTTGAAGAAACCATAATGAAACTTATGAAGTCTGGTGAAGAAATGTTTGCCTGCACTTTCAACTGGATTAACCTGCACTTCACTTTGTATGAACATGATTAAGTTAAGATTTATCGTATCCATTGCTGCTGCTGTTGTTTGTCATTTTTCATCTTATCCTGGTTTTCATTAACAGATGTGAGGACTTACTGAAACGAATCAAGGAACATATTCTTCTGTCACTGAATGTGGAAATCCCCATACTGCTGTAGCAATCATTGCTCTTAGCGTTGCAGTTACTTTAATATTAAGCGTTTTTGCAGTTATACTTATTCTGAAAAAGAAACAATCTCAAAATTCTGGTAAGCATGATTTAATTTGATAAAAATCGTTTTTTGTTTTTTTTTGTAGTATGAGATCTAGTTGTTTTTCCTATAAAAGATTTAACCATATTAAATAATATACAACTGATTTTTTCTGTTAGTGTCACGAATCCTGTCCATGAACTTCCATCCACTTGCCACCAGAGGTCGCCCTCCCATTATATTGATTCTCACACCACACAGACTGTACACATCACCCTGGACTACATTTCCCATGCTCCATTGCACTAATCACAAGCTCACCTGAAATTTATCACACACAGCTGCTACCAATTACACCCACTATAAGAATCAGTCTCAAACAACCATTCACTGCCGAGTATTGTAAGTGCATATCGCTACCCTAGTTGATAGCTACTTTACAGAGCCAGTTCCCGGTCCTAGTTGGAGTTTCTAGTTGTCTAAATCTAGTCACGTCTAGTTTCCTGATTTTCGCTTGTCCTGGATTATCCCTCTCGTCTCGCCCTGTTCGAATACTGTTTGTCCCTTGCCTGGACCATAGCCTGTGTTTCGGATTAACTCTTTGGATTACCCTGTTTGGACATTGTTCGCCGGAGATCGACCACCACGCCCGCTCACTGGACTTCTCTTGTCTTGCCCTCAATATACCTGCTTGACATTGTCTGACCCTTGCTTGTTTTGACTTTGTTCTAGAATAAAAGCTTTGCATATGGATCCGCACGCCTCTGGTCTCGTCTACTCTGTAACAGTTAGCATGGTTGGGCAACTGGGACTCTTTTTTTTTAACAATTATTCGTATACACTTTATATATTACTGCAGTTAGCAAAAATATAGTGATGCAGTGAGGATTATATTATTAGTTAAATTACTAATAATTTTCTCTTCCTTCTGTTCATACAGGAATACAGGTATACTGAAAATTATTGAAAACTTTTTTCACATTAAAGAGAAAGAAATAAAACCAATATTTACCAAGTTTTAAATAACAAAATGTGTTTTTTTTTTGTTGAAAGGAAACAGAAAAGTATTTAAATGAAAAAGCCAGTTCAAAAGGTGAGAGTAAAGGAAGTCATATAGATATAGACCTATCCATGTCAGCTAATGTACAAGATGAGAAACTTCAATGGCATAATATTAGATTTCTTTATGAAATTATATTTTGACTTTGAGATAGCAATGCAAAACATTATTTGTGTTTATACAAAAAATAATGAAAAAGAATGCTTTCCTTCATTGTGTTTTCAGTTGTTGCTGGCCGAAAGAATATTGAGGCAGACAGACTGGAAGAACAAGCCCTAACAACAGTTTCGACTCGATCCACATGAAGGAGTTTTCATGTCTGATATCCAGCAGCTACCCCAAGAAAAACCTCTTGAAACAAACTGAGGGGCACTTAGGAGATTCTTATGAAGTATTGTGTGTTCCAAGCCTTAAAAAAAAAGAAAAATGTAGCAGCAATATGAATATGAGCTAACATAACCATATTACAAAACTGTATGGAACAGTATGTTACATTTGTTTTGTTTCAATAAATATTTTGATAGATTTATTATATATATACATTTTTCGGAAATAATATTAAAGCAGGCTCTTTTTAATAACAAAGTACGTGCTCACTTACAATTTATTTAGTATACTTCAGTGATGACATATAACCTTTCAAAGCAGTTTCAGCATTCTATATCATTTGATTCTGTTTTTTATATTATTTATTTTTTACTGAATATTAATTATTTGTATTTACATATTAGTTGGACGGCCCACTATGAAAAATTCAATTAATTGAATAAGCTAAATACAATGTCAACAGGAAACATCTCTTTCAGACCATAGAGGGAACTCTTCATCTTCAGAGACAATCGTTAGCGCGCTGTGGGTTAGTTTCGATTTTCCGAAAAACACATAAAAACATTATTGTGAACTGGCAGTAAACACTGGGCTTGGTCTATCTGACGCCATATTAGGAATACAAACTGAAACAACGCCGCTATATTTTGAGTCAACCAACGGCTGTGACTAATGTTTTGTGAAAGTAGAAGAAGTGATATTAGCCCTGTATCTGCTGGTAAGTGGTTTTATGGTTGTATTATTAAGGAAAAACACGTGACCTGCAAGTTTAAAGTCCAAATTAGCATATCACGAGACTTGTTAGAAATACAAGCTGAAAAATATCGACCAATATAGGTTATAGCCTATAACTGTGTTCATTTTGTCTTTGAATTACTATAGTAGGCTACTATTATAGCCTATGATCGTACTATTTCTTGATATCCTTCATTTTGATTTATTTCTAAAGTGAAAGTGAAATTACCCATCTCCTCCACCATCGTAGATTCCAGTTAATCCAGTTTAGCTGTTTTCATGCAAGAAATCTTACATGATTATATTTTACCGACTGTTGCATAGCTACTTAATAAACTGGTGTTTCTTCAACTCTAAGCACTTTGTATCTAAATGAACAGTTTTTATGTATTTTCATATACAGTCAAACCAAAAAATTTTCAGACACCACATATAATTTTTGATATTTTTTTACTAGTGTGTGCATTATGTAAGTGAGGATAGCAAAATAAAGTGAACTGTGACATATTATACCCAAAAATTCTTCATACAGTGGACGACCAGTAAAATGAATAAATTATTCAGACACTTTGACCTGACCATGTTTTGCTTAAGTGTTTTTTCTTTAATTGATAATGCAAACTTTTTACACCACAGACTGAACAAAATTAAGCATTGCTTGGTAATTGGTTGACCTATTACTGTATCTAATTGTGTACTTAAATTTAACAGCTGAATAATTTTTGGTTGATTGTAATCCATTACATACCTTTCTATCAAAGTTATCTGACATTATCAAGATGAATTTGTTCTGACACAGTTTAACTCTGAGTTCTTGTCATATTTTATTTACATTTTCTAAACTATAGCAAATAAACTGTGATAATGTGATAATTCCTTTAACACTAAGATTTTTGATTACTAAGATTATTATAATTATTTTGAAATTAAACAACTATAAAGACTGCTACAAATATATATATATACAATTATAAAGTAAAATGAGAACTTTAAATTATTTTCCCCTATAAATTAAATTCACAATTGGGTAGAATGTGCAAACATTTAAAAAATTTAAAACAGCAAATATTGTAAATATTGATCAAAACATCCTAGAAAACGAATGTTTAAAGGCAGAGTATGTGATTTCTGGTAGCCAATGTTGATATTTGAAATCACCAAAACAAACACGCCCCTACCC